TTCCAATGTATTGTTAGACTTTGAAAAAATTGATAAAGTTGAAAAGAAAATTATCGACGGGAAAGAAGTTGAAATAAAAATGAAGATAGCGAAATGTAAACATTGCTTGTTTGATTGTGATGGACGTAGTTCAAGAGGTACTACACACATTATTAATCACATTATGAAGTGCCCCAAAAAGAAGAGACCCGATATTCGTCAACAATTGATTCAAGCTACTATAAAAAATGAAGAATGGACTTGTGCACTTAGTAATTATCATTTTGATAATGAGAAGAGTCAAACATTACTTGCAAAAACTATCATCGTCTATGAGTATCCATTTAACTTGGTCACACATGACTTCTTTTTACAATATGTGCATTCTCTTCGTCCAAATCATAAGGTTCCAACTCGTGCAAAAATCACAAAGTTATGTATGAAGGTTTATGGTAAATATAAAAAATCTTTATTTGATTTGTTTGCCACATCTTCCACAAGGTTGAGCTTGACAATGGATAAATGGACATCATCTTCTCAAAATTTGGCATATTTGTGCATTACCGCTCACTATGTTGATGAATCTTGGAAACTTTAAAAACGTATAATTGGTTTCATTAAAGTCCATAACTCCACAGGGAAGGATATATGCAATGTTTTAATCACTCGTTTACTTGATTGGAAAATTGATGATAAAGTTTTGTCAATTACGATAGATAATGATAAAGCTAATGATGTTGCCGTTAAAATTAGAAAAGATCGTCTTAAAAACTATCTACCTTGTGACGGAATCTTTTTTTATGTGAGATGTGGAGCACATATTATAAATCTCATTGTTCAAGAGGGACTTAAAATTATCACTAAAGCTATTGAAAAAGTAAGGCTTAGTGTTAAATATGTTACATGTTCACCGAAGATGGAAGAGAATTTTGATCATGTTGCGAAGCAAGTTAATGTGGTTGGAGAAAAATGCTTAGCCCTTGATTGTTGCACAAGATGAAATTCGACTTATTTAATGTTGATGAATGCTTTAAAGTACAAAGTTTCTTTTAATATATTTGAACTTAGCGATGACAAATATATTCATTGTCCATCGGAGGAAGAATGGAATTATATTAAAACTTTGAGTAAATGTTTGAAACACTTTTATGATGCAACTAATCTCCTTTCCGGTAGTATGTATCCTACTTGCAATCTTTTATTTGAAGAATTTTGTGAAATTCAATTGCTTCTAATTGAATGGTTAAAAAGTAATGATGATACAATTGTGGCTATGGCTTTTGCAATGAAAAGAAAGTTTGATAAATATTGGAGCATGTGCAATAAGATTTTTACGGTGGCTACTTTTCTTGGTCTGAGGTACAAAATGATTATAATAAAATATTACTTTAAGAAAATTTATGGCTTGGATGATGAAAGGTGTACACTTGAAATTTTAGATGTCATCAAAAAGTTGCATGGAGAGTATGCATCTCTTGAAAAAAAGCAATCCAAAAATGATGAAAATGCTTCAAGCTCACAAGCAAAAGAAGTGGAAAGAGTTTGTGACAAAAGAAAATCTAGATTTGCACAATTTGTTGAAACTATTGAGAAAGAGCCTACAAAGACAGATTTGGATTTATATATGGAAGAGAGTATTGTTCGATGCGAAGGTGAAACAACGGGGAAATTTGATATATTGGATTGGTGGAAATCAAGTTTTGGAAGGTATCATATACTAGCAAAAGTTGCAAGAGATGTTTTGGGTATACCGACATCAACTGTGGCTTCCGAGTCGGCTTTTAGCACCGAGGGGCGTGTGATTCATTGTTATAGAAGTCGAATGACAACGGATACGATAGAGGCGTTGATATGTGCACAAGATTGGATCAAAGCGGAGAAAGGAGGTAAATTTATTATTTTTGCATAGATAAACTGTTATAATTGGTTAATTGTACATTAAATGATTGTATGTTTTATTCTAATAATTTTTTTGTAGTTACAAAAGTGCAAACTGTGAATGATGATGCTCTTGATGTGGTTAAGCTTTCGGATCACGACGACTCGAAGATTGTCGAAACTTTTATAAAAGCACCTATAGGGTTGTTATTTAACTTCATAAGCATATGATATGAAATTTAAAATTTTCACATATTAAACATGACAAATGCTTTTTTTATTTTTTCAAGGTGACATCGTGAAGGTCCTTGACTCGGATGATGAAATTTAATATTTCTCTTGCATTGATGGGTCTCATCTTTTGGTTTATATTTTATTCTCAAGAATATGATTGTCTTAGTTTGCATGCTTTTTTGCTTAGGGAACTATATTATAGAACTTGTGGGTTTTTAATATTTCTCTTGTAATGATGATTATGTATCCTAAACTTTATGTTTGAATCGGTGTGCTTTTTTTTAATTGCCGCTCATGAATGAATATTTTGAGATTCAGTTTTTTAAACCTCGTGGAATACATGAGCTTCCTTCTTTGAAGAGCATTTTAATATTCAGAGGTTCTGAAATTATTTTACCTGAGGATTCTTGAGTAATAGTAATAACAATGGTTTCTCATGATTGAGTTTTGAGTAGCAGGCTAGGAATATTTATACAAGGTTGCAAGCTTCAATCAGTGACTACTGCATTTTTATTATAAAGACGCAGGCTAGGAATATTTATACAAGGTTGCAAGCTTCAATCAGTGACTACTGCATTTTTATTATAAAGACCTTTATGATGTTAAATTATGCACATTCATAATAAATGCTAACACATACTTTTAAAGTTCTTGATTGTTCATTAGACATTATATGTCCTCAGTGTGGCAGTCTGACAAACCCTTGGAAAAAATTGTTAAGCTTTTGCATGCTTCATGCTTCATGATTATTCCGCATATTGTTTGCCTGTGATATTATTTGCACAAATATATTATTTCTCATTTGTGTAAAGTTGTAATCAGTTAACATATCATTTTTATATTCCTTCAAAAATTTGTTGGCATATTTGTTTCAAGGAAAAAGGTTGAGGCCAGATTGTCTTCAAGGCAATGGGAAGAGCTATAGACAAAACGGTGATGATTGTGGAGCTAATTAAGGTAATATTTTTTGACATATATCTTAATGATCATTTTGATCCCTGAGAAGTTGGAAACTTTTATCTTGAGTCCTTCCCCACTTCCTTGTATTTTCTGTGCAAAGTTATGCCAGTTGCAAAATGACCATTGTACATAAATATGCTGATGGTGCAGAGAAGGATTGTGGGTCTTCATCAAATTACTACTATTGGTGCGCTATTGGTGCAAAGAATGATTGTGGGTCTATGAGGTAACTTGTCTTACTTTGCGAGGTATTAAAATCATATATAGTTTTTATCATATCCTATTCATATCTATTTCCCAAATATCTAATTAGTATCTGTATCCGAACCGTATCCGACTCTCTAATATCCGAACCGTATTCGTTTCCGTTTAATGTGGATATTGTAATGTTTTTTTCTTACCGATGAATATCCGAACCGTATCCGTATCCGTTTTCAAAAAATAGTTATGGTTGTGGTAAAGGTCATATCCGAACCGTATCCGAACCGAATGCACCCCTACTTCCAAGGCAGAACCAGGACAGTAAAAGGCTCATGGTACATCAAAGTCACGTATAAAAAGAAGTCCCATCATTGGATTAGCGACACTGCTAAGCAATATTGAAACCATATTCAGATGACAACTATCAATGCCATACTATATGATCGAATAATAGCAAACACCAATGAGGAACTCATTCGCAGGAATGATCATAACGGTCTCTCTTTCTATCTGATAATCAAAGGTTAGATTTATAAGTCTTCCCCATTCCACCAATGACCCATTAAACTTTTATCTTGTGTTGCCCAAGATGCACCTGAGTGATTTAATCTTTTTGCACATGTTGACTATTGGGCCTCATTTTCTAATTCTTGCACCAGCAATTAATCAATCTCTCCTAATGAAGCAGAAATAGATCGTTAAGCATGATGACTAGTTATGTGATAAATACCAGTGTCTGAACAGTCTTTAAGAAGCAAAGCATGAGGCGAAGCATTAAAACCACCCATAAGGCAATGTATAACCCTCAAGGCATGAGGTACAAACCTTACAAATTTATCATTGTTCTAATTCGAAAATATATAAAGATTGCAAAAATATTCAAGATAGGAAGATAAAATAAAATTTAACAGATGTTGCAGTAGCACATATTAAACTCTTGTCAGAAAAGATGGAAATATTCTATCTTTACTCCAGCAAAACTCTATGCTATATTTGTCATGTTACTGTTTCCTTATAAATTTAACCCCTTAGATGTTTTTGAACCATATACTATCAACAGGTAGGGAAACATACTTTCTATCTGGTTCATGAAAATCACTTCTCATGTAAAAGGCAAAGTGGGATGTGAATTGTGTACTTCATTTGGGCTTTGTATGCCGAAGTATGCACCTCATAGTCATGGTCACGGATGTCTGCAAGGCATTTTTCTTCAGCAACATCTTGAGAAGTCAGAGTAATAATAAAAAAAGCTCCTTGTGCATTCTAAGGACAGCTAAAGCTTAAAAAACAGTGGACCATAAGTCGCGATGGTACCTGGATGAAGGAAATGTACTCATATCTGATACTTATTGACTTTAATGGCTACATACTGACACTCCTAAATCTATCTTAGAAAGTAATGTATCCAAAAATATAAAACATGTATAAGAGATGTGTCTGAGGTTAAAAGGTAAAAAATATTAATGCATAAATGATATGTTTGACTTGTAAAAATACATTTATATAGCCTGTCCAAATCCTATTTAACAACTTCTAATATCACCATATTGTACACATAATGAAATATGTTGAGAGCATATTTGTATTTTGTAACAAATGTTCATGATTGCTGTATGATTGGTATATCCTCACTGTTATGTACAGGGACACACTTGAGAATGTGTCACTATCTTTCAGGCATGTTGATATGTTGTTATACACGCATATGGGCTCATGTACATAGTCATAGTTTTCAATACATGGATTTATTTATTAGGGGTAGCCACTGAAACATAAAGCTTCCTTTCCTTTTCTAGCACTTAAAATAACCTTATAATCAAGAGGGAGAGGGGAAAAGTGAACATCGAAAAATAACATTGAAATCCCAAACTAGTTGAAAAGCTGAAGAAATAATCTTGTTTGCGGATGATAATTTTGCTTACCTCAATCTCAGATATAGCTCCTGAAGGAATAGGACGATAGGGCTCATTAATAGCATCAATTTCACGGTCATACCAATCATTAAGTGTCTGCAAGAAAAGTGATCACCAGAATGGAATTGTTGAGCAGTTCCATGTCATATACATATTAGTCGTTGCAAAACTAAGTTCTATACGCAGAAACATAAGCTAACCTGTGTGTAGCCTGTTAGACATGGTCCTGACATCATCATGCAAACAATAGCTTTAGCTACATCTTCAAGATTCCAGTGAAAGTTTCCTGCAAAACAACCAAATCAACATGAGAACTAAAGAAGATACAGGGAATGTTTGTGGTTATATTCATTCTGAACTCTGAAGAACATGAGAGTCAAAGAAACTCAAAAGTGTGAGCTCCACAAGTGAGAGGAATCTACCCAGTTATTAGTCATCAAGAAATTCAATGCAGTGGGCAAACACTATCTTATACCTTAAGAACATGCTACTTCTAACTTTAGAAATTTGTACCCTTCTTCTAACATAGAAATTCCAATATACTAAAAGATTAGCAATAGTGAGTTGTATTCAGATGAGTTATATGACTTATAGACGACCAAAAAGAAACCCATACATGTTGCTTATCATTGTTATTCGGGAGATTTCTCTTCCCACATTGATCCGTTAGAAGTATATCAAGAAGGTAACACTTACCAGAAGCAGCAGCTCCGCACACCACTCCCCATACCAATGGGGGCCACGTAACAGGTTTTGTAAGTTGAAGGCGAATTTTCCATATATCCTGCACACAATTACCTAGAAAGTTATTAAGCAATGACATGGCATTTAAGGACATCAAATCTCATGTAACAAAAATACTTTGTAACTATCATACGAGGAAAACAAAAGTACTGATACATAGGCTAAATTGCCGTTATGGCAGTAAAAGACATGAATTTGATTCCAATATAAGATAAGACTCTGAATTAAAGTTTTCGTTACAAATGAGAATGATTTTTCAACTACATCACTTCCTTTATATCACAATTTCAACTTAGAATTCTATCTATCTACTACAAATGACAAATAAACCCCAAAATATCAGTAAATTTACAAGGAGGGTTTTTGTTATTCGGGTATAATAGGCTACATTTGGTGTATCATTACCTACATTTTTTGCTCAAGATGCCACAGTTCATAGTAGGGTTTTAAAACAACTCGTATGGCTATTTTGGATTTAAGAATGATTCCAGAAATGGGCGGGCTAAAAAAACAAGGTGCAACTTTGGGTTTATAAAAATAAAAATTAAAAATTAAAAATTTGGAGCTCACCGTCTCTTGTTTAGCCCCCTTAATCCCAAGAAGCTGATTGAAGCTCGAACCACCGCCAGCAGCCGGAACCTTATCCGGCACCGCAGGCTTAACTACACCCCAAAAAAAAATCAAAACCCTAGGCGAAAAAAATCCAACCTTTTTACCAAGGGTTGAGCTGAAATTTTTTAGGGGAAGGAGGACTAAACCTTCATTGGCATCAGTTTCCGTGGCTCTTATTTTCACCGTAAATCTCCGCCCTGGGATTTCATTAAAACCCTCGAAATTTTCATAAATTGCAGGATCAGGACAAAGGGAGGAGAATGCAATCAAATAGAGAGGTGAGGGGCTTACGAGAGATAGAGACGAGGTGAGGACAGGGGCGAGAGAGCACGCGGCGCTGACGTGGCGTCCTGCTATTGGCTACGGCGATTGAGGATGCATTGTAAGTGAGAGAAGCCATCGCCGGCGAGTAGAGAGCGACGATGTGACGGAGAGAGACTGACTTTTTGGAGATGGGATGGCGGATAACCTGTGAAGTTTGCATTATCCCGCCGGTTTATTCTCGTTATCGTGTTCTCATTCTATAGCAGGCTGGTATCTATTTTTATTTTTTTAATCATTTTTAATATGTTATATTTCAAAAATATATAATAATAACAGAGAAGTTTGCCTCGTTTTGACATAACTTTTGGAGTAACCCCAAAATTGAGGGTTATCTGGAAATATATCATCTCTTTTGGAGTTTAACTGATAAGATTTAAAGATCATAGTTTCATATTCTAAACATATTTAGTAAGATCCGAAAAATGGTTGTCTTTTGATACCATGTGAAAGTCACTCTAACCGTTATATCAAAACTTCGAAATTATAACAATGTTTGAGGATTATACTTTTAAATTCTAGCAAAGCTTCTCTCAAAATGAACCAAATTTTTAACGAGTTTTGTGATCTACCCTTTCTAATAATAAAGTACAGGGCTTGAACTTATAAGTTCTTAATTCTATCCAAACTTTGTGAAAATTCTGCTTAAAATTTAATTTCAAAAAAGGGCGTCTAGAACTTCATTTAAGAAGAAAAATGAAAGAAAATGTTCATAATATTGGTCATAATTCATAATCTTCTTACTTCGTCTTACAACTTATTTTTTTAGAGGTAAACTGTGAAGCATGATTTTCCAATTTTTAATTAAAATTAAATTAAGAAGACAATCTCCAAAATGCAGAGATACAAACATGTATGATGGTTCACATAAAACATCGCCCCTTAAAAAAGGAAAAAAAAAATCCAATATTATATGTGAAAAGCATCCTCATAAAATGAATAGTTTGTCATATTCCATTTTGTTAACTTAGTCCATTATTTGTTCTACATAGATGATAATGCAAGTTGGTTTTTTCCTTATCGAGTGACAAATAAAATTTAGTTTTCTTCTTTTTTGAGAAAATCTTCAATTTTATTATTATAATTACTAAAATTGAAGAGATTTCCCACCTCGACTAACCTTAAACAAATCAATAGTACAAAAATCAAGTTATATCATATCATATCATACTCCCTTTAAAAGCACGAGTTCAGGAAAATCTTTCTATGGTCAATATTACCCTTCACTATTTTTAATATTACATTTAAATTTTAATCTATTGTAATTATAATTATATCTTATCTAATCCCATAGGAACTATCTATAACTCAACAATTTTAAAAAATGTTAACAAACTACGTGGAATATTATTTTAAATTTTTTATTTAAATCTTAATCTATCTAAATACTAATTATATCCTATATTAATCCCACATGAACTACCTATAGCTCAGCAACTTAAAAAAATAATATTAAGATTTAATTCAAAAATTACACAAAATATCTTTAAAAGTTCGAAATTACTCAAAACACCGCGACTTTTCAAAACTTAAAACAACAAACATGAAATCTAAAAATAAAAAATAGCCCCTGAGGAATTTAAAAATTACATTTATACCCTAAAATTTTCTAAAATTATAGAAACAACCTCAAAAATTCAAATTAGAAAAAAACACCCTAAAATCAATGACTTCAAAACTTGCAAACAACATAGATAGATTTTAGGGATTACAATTAGGCACTTAAAAACTTAAAATTTGTAATAAATAACCTCAAAGTTATAGATAGATTTTAGGGATTACAATTAGGCACTTAAAAACTTAAAATTTGTAATAAATAACCTCAAAGTTACATAAACTACAAAAACTCCCTCGAAATTTAAAAATCGCAAAAATCCTGAAATTTTAAAACTTATAACTGGTAGACATCAAATCTAAAAATTATCAGCAGATCATTGAAAATTTAAATTTATCAAAAAACAACTCAAAGTTTTAGTAATTATAAAAAACACACTCAAAATTTCAGAGTTGAAAGAAACATCTTAACATTTAAAAACTTACCACAAACTCATAAAACATAAAAATTATAAACACCCAACATAAAATTTAAAATTTTCAAAAAAAATTACATTAGAGTTAAAAAAATTACAAAACACACCATCAAAAATTTAAAATCACAAAAGGCTAAAATTTGGCAAAGAAAATAATAAATGTTTGATATCATTTCATTAAGATATATAAATTTAAGTTTTAATTTAAAGTTTATCATCCCTTTTTAGCATCTAAAAGTAGTTTAAGTTGACGCTGGAAAAAATTAACAATTACGATAGATTAAAACTATCCAATTAAAGAATAAAAATTTAAAAAATATACGACATATTAAAAATTAATATTACTGTATAAATTTAAGGAACTATATATAATATTAGTAACAAAATTAATTGATAGAAGACCAAATTACATTAAACTAACAAAAGACTATAATATAATAAGTTAGCATTAATTGATTATAATGTATAAACATTCATCTCTGACATTAATAATATTTATAGAGTAAAAAATACAGGGAATTTTGCATGAAAAATCTATCAGGAAGTTCAGGGACATCCTTAAAAAAATCAAGTTTTTTTTATTTTAAAATAGAGAAGTGAAGTAAATAAACCCAAAATATAAAAACATTCATGAATCACTTGAACTGACATTAACAAAATGTATGTTTAGCAAAAAGCACTAATGTGTTCCCCCCTGAAGAAATGTTTAACAATTTTGTCCCAATTAAAAAAGCATTCATCGTGAAAGATACAAGAAAATTTAGTTTGTATGTATAAATTTTCTTACTTTATTCTTGAAATACTAAATGAATCATAAACTTAATATAAAATTACATATAAATAATCTTACAATAGAAACTAAAGTGAAGTCATTGATCAACTATGTTGCGAGATATAATAAGTCAGATAAGATGAGAGAAATTACTATAATGGACAAAAGGTATATAGATGATAATTAGTTACAATAGCATAAGTAAAAAATTTAAAATTGATATTTTTCTTTTTCTAATATATGGTATGACTCTGTAAGTAAATTTATTTGGGGATATGACTACCTAATAAAGGATTAGTTTTTAAAGACACGATCAAAGATAAGGACATAATAGCACTGTTAGATTTTAAGATCTTTAAATATGAAGGTATCATATTTTACTACTAAATTTTTTATTAAAGGTCACTAAATATAAAATTCACATTATATCTGTCTCAAATTTGTAGGAAAAATATGCATGTTATCGTAAATTATGTTAACAATATATACCAATACAAAAATACAACTTATTGAAGAAATAAAAGAATGATAAATAAACCAAGCAAACATACATGTAACACAATAAAAAAATTACACTTTAAAGCTAATACGCATGGCTTATTCAGAACAAGCTGTTAATATAGAAGCATATCCATCAAGGCTCTTTACAAATACAATATAATTTTAAACTATTGATGTATGCAATAATCACAATATCAAAGAGGTATGATCTTATAAGACCTACTCTAAAATTTACACAATTTTACTTTAAAATACTCTACCAATATACAGACACGCTATTGGACCTATAATGTAAAGATAACTACTATTTACAATAAAGTTGATCCGTGGTTCTAGCTTGCAAAGAATACAATAAGAAGATTGGATAGAGATGTTAATAAGAATATCCAAATAATAAATATCATAAAATTACTAATAAAGTAGTACCAATGTTGAGTAATATCCCTTATTTATGAAATAAACATATCAAGATTAAATATTAACATTATAATTTAAGCCAATTTGATAATAAAAAAAATACAGTTATTTAGTTTAGATCATTGTGGAAAATGACATTGATAGAGTAAAACTAACATTATTTAACACGACAGAAACTCTTATTGGATGCACACCAGAAGAATTTATTATAGAGAAAAAAAAGATAACTTCTAACCATTTTTGAAAAATAAATTAGAAACAAAAAAAAATATATACATGAAATTAACATGTAGTCTCATTGAAACACAAAAATAATCAATGTCTGTATTTCTAGAATTTTTGTTGAACATCAAAAATGCATTCAACTTCTTTGTGAAGTAAGATGAGAAGACAAAAAATGAACGAGCTTAGGGAAAAATAATTACACAAGAAATCCAGCTCTAGCATGGTGTCACAATCAATATAGATGATGAAAACACAACTCTAGAATTGTTCAAGAAAAAGATTAATAAGAAGAAGGATTGATCTTTAACTCAATAAAAAATGAAACAAAAAGAATAAAGTTTTATTTTTTGAATATTTTATATAGAATAAATTAATTTTTTGTGGAAAACCAGGAATCTTTAGAAATGATTTTCATGAACTCTTTTAAATTTTTTTATATGGTTACGTGGATGCTTTTATCATATAAAATATACTAGAGTTAGCATTAATCTTTAGTCAATGATTTTTTCTGAAGTCTATCAATTAATTAGCAACAAACTTCATATTCTCTTTAGTTTCATTTTAGCCAACTTTTAATTTATCATCTTGGCTTTTAAGCTTTAATTATCCATCTTTCTTTTATAACACTACCTTTTTAAGTGTTTTTCATTTTTACAACATTATACTTTCAAGCTTGGTTTTATGTAGGGGTGGGCAAAAACCGAAAAAAACCGGTTCAACCGAAAAAACCGCCCGAAAAAACGGACCGGTTAACCGAACCAAATTAAATGGATGAGAAGAAGTCTCTAAACCGCCCGAACCGAATTAAATCGGTTTGGATCCGATTTGAACCCCTGAACCGCCCAAAAAAAACCGACCCGAATTCTGTTGGGCGGTTTAGAGACTAAACTTATACCTCAAAACTTTTCCTGTTATCATCCAATAGATTCAAACGGTGCAAGGAGCAGTTTTAAGCAACGAGTACAACAATATCACAGAAAAATATCCTTGAGAACTAAGTAAAGATTTAAATCAATCCAGAAAATTTGTTATGCACATGATGCACTTACAAAAGATGCATACGCTACATTATATGAACAATATCATACAAAACATCACTCCCCCGTGTAATTAAATAAACTTAAACTTTAGTTAAAAAAATTCGCAGAAAAAATCTTGAGAATTA